CGGGTGGTACAGCGACCTCGGCCAGGCCAACCTCAACGCGCAGGGGCCGACTCAAGCGTGCGCTTTGCCCCAGCCGACCACCCACCGGCCCTGCGCTCCGCGCCGGCCTCATTAAATGTTAAGCCCGGCTGCCTGGGGGTCGTCTTTGCGGGGAGGGGCCAGGAAACGGCGGAGCTCAGCTGCAGAGGCACCTGCCCAAGTGGGATGGGCCAAGGGAAGTCTGGGAGGCCGGGTAGCTCAGCAGCTAGGCCACAGGCAAGGCTGCCAGGGCTGGGAGGGTCATCCCCGCAGTGCTGACCTGCTGGAACCCTTGAAGCCCACCAGGCGTCCCCTCTGGCTGTGAGCTCATTGAGGGCCCTCAAAAACCTAGTCCCACCAGATTCAAAGTGTGGGTAGGACAGCAGAGTCAGGGGGCAAGGTCAGGAGGGCCTGGGCCTGAGGAAGAGGGAGGGGTGACACCAGGCTCAGGCCTGGTCTCCTAGGCAGTGAGGAAGGAGGCTGGGAACAGGGTACTCCGCCAGCAGGCCAGGTGGGGAAGACACCGGGTGGGCCCAGGTGGAAGGGAATCCATCAGGCTGCAGGGGGCATTCCGGAGTGCTGAGTACCTACCAGGACCTCACCACGTTGTCCCCGTTGTCTGTGTCACCCTAACCCCACACAGAAGGTAGTCATCATTTTTTATTTTGGGGTTTGTTTTTTTTTTTTGACCGATAGGACCTCCAGGTGGTCCTCAAAAACCTTTATTGGATGGTTCTTTCCAGAGAGGGAGATGCAAGCCAACGGACGGGGCTGAGGGCAGGCATGGCTTCCAGGTCCCCACACCAGGGGGGACAAACGGTGGGCAGGACGCTGTCTGCTGTGTCCATGTCACTTCTCCAGGGGCACGCATTGAGCAGCTTCTCGATCAGGCCCATGTGGGCCAGCAGCATGTGGCAGCAGCAGTAGCGCTTCAGGCCCAGCGCTTCCAGGGCATTCCCCTCGGTGTGCTCGGCCTGCAGCAGCCCCAGGTAGGCCTCCCACTTGTTGCCACAATCTTGCTACACGTGAAACAGCACACAGGGATGATCAAGGCGGCAGCTGAGCAATCAGCTGACCAGCTTGGTAGAGTCATTGTTTATCTCAGCAACGAGGACCCCAAGCTGGAGGCAGCTGAGGGGTTCCCCGAGGTCACACGGCGACAGGGGCAGAGATGGTTCTCATGAGGTCTGGGAAGCCTCGTTGTGGCCCCAGGAGAAAGTTCAGAGGCGGCCCCTTGAAGGTAGGTGTGGAATCGGGGCTCCTGGAAGAAAGAGCAGCGCCAGCCAGGAGGGAGCTGGAGAGTTTGTCAAGGGTCTCGGGTTTCAGTCTGAGCCCACATGGGCAGGGGATTGGGAGCCCCTCCAAGAACCACTCTTTCCATGCAGGCATCAGCGGGGTCACCTAGTGGGGAGGAGTCTCCACAAGGCTCCTCTGAACTGAATTCGAATCATTTTGCAACACTGACTTGCCCCACCTCCTCACCTGGGGGCCCCTTCAAGGCCAAGCTTGACCATCCCCACCCTGCGCCCACCTCAGCCTCCTGCACATCTCCAAGGAGTTTCTCTGGGCCAGGAGCTGCTCTGGGGGAACTGGTGCCCAGATCATCAGAGCTCCTGCTCTCGCAAAGTGAGGGTGAGAAAGACATACAAGAAACAGGAAAATAAGGGAATGAGCTCATTTCAGAGAGAAGTGCAAGGAAAAACACAGGGTGACAGGAGGCACGGCGGGCAAGGCAGGCAGCAGGGCGGTACGGGATCTAGCATGCCTGTGCGGAATCGCGCTCCAGGCGGGGATAGCGCAGGCGCAAAGGCCCCGCACTAGGGAGGCGCCCGGCCCGGGGCTGGCAGGCTCCAGGCTTTGGCCTCCTCCTCGGGCTCTGCCTGGCCCACAGCTGTTCCCATGAATTCTCCCAGATCCAGACAAATGTTGTCCTCTTTCCCTCCTGTCCTGTGCGCGGCTAGCAAAAACACAATCCAGGTCCAGACCCTCAGCACAGCGTAGCGGTGGGGCTGCCCTTGGCTTCCCCCCCGGAGTTGGGGGCACCCTGGAGGTCCACTGGGGACGTCATTCGGCACAGTCACCGGCTTGGAGCGCTCAGCCTGGTCTGGCAGGTGCCTCCCAGGGCGGACTTCCAGGGACCTGACGGCTGCGGCGCAGGGCAGTCATTCCGGACTGCCCTGTCTCAACTGCCCACTCCAGCCCTCAGCCGCAGCTCCGCGGAACCGGCCCTCGCAGTCCCCCGAGGCGGGACCTGGCG